CATGCGCTCATGAGGGAGGGGGGAGCGGAGAGGGAGGGAAAATAAAATGAGGACCTGATGCCAGGGACTTATGCAGAGAGCAAATGTTCTGAGAATGATGAGGGCAATGAATGTACAAATGTGCTTTACACAATTGGTGTATGTATGGATTGTGATAAGAGTCGTATGAGCCCCCAATAAAACGATTAAAAAAAAAAAAGAAATCAAATGAGGGGGAGGGGGGGAATGAGGAGCTGATAACAAGGGCTTAAATAGAAACTAAACGTTTATAAAATAGTGATGGGAACATATGTATAAATATCTTGATACAATTGATGTGTGGGTTGTTATATGAGAGCTGTAAGAGCCCCCAATAAAATGATTGTTAAAAAAACACAGAATTTTCAAAAACCAGTGTACACCCCATCATCATAAGGAAATTAAATCCTGTAAGATTTACAGATGAAAAACTAACTGCTACAGGAATTACTTAAAATGGTCCTTCTGGCAACAGTCTTTGTAATTCCCACCCATGCCTCTAGAGGGGCACTGAACTGGCAGAGCTAAAAAGAGCTTTGTAACCCTTGCTGGAGCTGGGTATGGGTCAGGTCAAGGGGCCAGCGAAGAGCTGGAATGAGGTATGCCTGCAGGCACAGCACAGAGGCAGCTGACCTGATAGAAGCACTGTATCCTGAGTATTTCTGACCCTAAAGGGTAATCTGTTACGGTTCCCTAATAAAGCCCCTGAATATTATCTGGAGTGAGTCCTGCGTGACCACTCCAACAAATGGAGCCCTTGGGAGCCACAGTTAGAAGTGGTAAAAAGATTGAAGGGAGGAAGTAAATCTGATCTCTAGCACATAGGAATCAGTCTTGGGCTGATGGTCTCTTCCTCTTTGTGAAGTCAAAAAGCCCACCTGTTGCATAAACCCTAGGGACACTGAGCTTGTTAGAAAGGGGGGTGGGCGTGGGGGGTGGAAGACAACTAAGAAAAAGTGAAAATGACTGCACAACCAGAAGAATATAAGAATAAGGTAGTCAATGTCATTGATGTCATTGAATCGGACATGTACAAACAACTGAATTGGTATATGTTTTGTTGTGTGTATTCTGAACAAGGACATCAAACTTTTAAAAAAAGATTAACAGATGAGAGCAGGAAACTACACACAGAATTACTCACACTTGGTTCTGAGGGAATCTACTGGAACAAACCAAAGGCCAACAGGCTCCAAAGGTATCCAAAATGAGTAAACGAAGATAGAAATCCCCCATCTCATGAAAATGCCTCAATACATCTGTAGCTCAGAACTAATGTTCATGTCAAATGTAATTCATAAACCTTGACTGGAACCTAAATTTAAAAAATTAAATAGCTATAAAGCAGGTTTTTAAAACAACTGAGACTGTTTACTGTGAACTTAATATCAAACCAAAACTCATTGCCATACAGTTGATCCCAACCCATAGTGACCCTATAGGACAGGGCAGAAGTGCCCCTGTGAGTTTCTGAGACTGTACCTCTTTCTTGACAGGAGTAGAAAGGCCTGTCTTTCTCACCCGGAGAGGCTGGTGGTTTCAAACTGCTGACCTTGTGTATCACAGCTCAACTTGTCACCACTAAGCCACTATATAGAGGATGACATTAATGTTTTTCCTGGTGTGGTAATGGTGCTGTGGTTGGTTTCATGGAAGAATGCTCTAGCTTTGGAGTAATGCATGCTAAAGTATTCAAGCATAATAGGTCATATCTGTAGCCTATTTCCAAAGGATTGGACAATAAGGAAGAGGGTAGGAAAATACACCACAGGAAATTGTTTTTCTAAGGGGTCTATCAGATGTGCACTGAGCACTTGGAACAAATACTCAGAGTGGCAGTAGAGGTCATCTAACTGCTCTTCTGTCTTTTAAAGAGTAAGATCATGAAACAGAGATCCAGATCTCTTTGAGGCAGTTACATATTCCCATACATACTTTCTCACAGCCTTCCTGACACTGCAAGCTAGGCATGGGCTTCAAGGGGGGCAGTTCAAACCCATCAGTCTGATCCAAGAAAGAAAGATGAGACTGCTTCTGTAAAGAAGTACAGTCTCAGAAACCCTATAGAATTGTTCTACTCTATCCTATAGGGTTGCTATAAGTCGTACTCAACTCAATGGCAGCATGCTAGTATATAAGCTTTCTGAGCACCTATGACTACAAGATACTGTACTTTCCATTGTTAATTGGGATTTAAAATCTGGCAGAAACGAGATAGACAAGTAACAAGTAATTCTGACAGCATGATTCTGACAAGTGTGAATTAACAACATGGCTCTAAGGAAACACACAGATGTGTTCAGATTCATGGAAGGTTTTTGTCCGGTCATTCACAATGCATTTTCTGAAACCTAGTGCAACTCAAGGTGCCCTAGTGGCATAGTGGTTACATGTTGGACAAGACTGGCAGTTTGAAACCACCAACTGCTCCTAAAGAGAAAGATGAGGCTTTCTACTTCCGTAAAGAGTTACAGTCTCGGAAACTCACAGGGACAATTCTACCTTGTCCTTTAGGGTCGCTACAAGGGTCAGCATCGTCTTGATGGCAGTTATTCTAACTCAGGCTTTGGGAATACAGTATGAGAGACACATTGTCTGATCTCTAAAAGCTAATTGATGACCACATGGGAACAAAAGTGTTCGGCTGTAGCAATCAAATATTCCTGAACAGAAATAACTTGGAGCAGTCCCCTTTGGAGCATTCAGCCTGAAGTCACGCCTGAATTGCTGACTTGTGAATCGTGTGCAAGTTCCAGAGTTCTGTGAGAGATAAACACCTTTGTGTCAAAGATGTCGAATGACACAAACAGAAAGCAGACTAAGTGGAGTTGATGGCTGGGGCCTTTTCAGGCACAGATTTTTAAAAAGGAAACTGAGGAGGACTGAGCAGAGGATATGGGTTCATCTAAGCTCAAGAAGTAGGGGAGGCCTCTTAAGCTAAGAGTTATCGAATGCATGAATGCGTGGGAGAGACACTTGAGTAATGGCTAACAGCTAAAAATGTGGCTGAATAAGGGATCTTTAGAGATAGCAGATTTTTTTTTTTTTTTTTTTTTTTTTAGTTTCCTGGCTAAGAATTACAAGCCTTGGTGATTAAAATGCTCAGTTGCTAACCATAGAGTCCATGGTTCAAACCCACAAGCCACTCTCTCCAAAACAGAAGGACTTGCAGTCTGTTGCTGGACAGATTTACAGCCTGACCACCTATGGGGCAATTCTACTCGGAACCAACTCAATGATGATGGGCATGGTTTTGGTTTGGGGAAGGATCCATGCAATAGGACACTGCAGATTCCCTTATCCAACACCTTTTTCTACTTGCACTAAAGTGGTGTACAGGAAGACGGGAGCACACAGCCTCATCTTGTTCCTATGGAGCAGGGTGGTTGAGTTTGAACCACCAACCTTGAAGTTAGCAGCCCAATGTTTGTTTATCCCACAGTACCACCAGGGCTCCTTCCTCATACAGCCTGGAATACCTCACTTCAAAGGACCAGTAAAACAGCTGGCACACTTGTATGAAACACGAAAGAAAAAGTTCTAGTGGGCAGTCATGGGGTTGTGCCCACTCACACACGAGTGTGCCAACCTCACCATGTCTTCACATACTCAAACAGACTACCTAAGGTGAGGACAGGAGGTCCAAGGCAGGGAGTTCAACTTCTAAAGCCATAGGCACTCGCAGGGCACTAAAATCCTAGCCTGCATAATGCTCTCCACCCCAAACCAAACTCACTTCCACCCAATCAATTCCAACTCACAGGAACCCTGAAGCACAGGGTAGAACTGCCCTTGTGGGTTTCCTACCTGTACTCTTGACAGGTGTAGAAAGCCTCATTTCTCCCTCAGAGCCACTTATGATCTCGAATTGCTGACCTTGCCGTTAGCAGCCCAACACGTAACCACTATACCACAATGGCTCCTGCCAGATCTCTGAGACATCACTTACCTTAACAAATGGGAACCAGAGGGACATCGTGTGATCACATAGTCCCTTTCCATGGTACCACACTCAGTTTAAAAGTATAGCTCAGCTGAAAAGCACACCCCCCGATTCCATAACAAAGTAGACATCCACTCTGGGCTGGGTCACGATGGCCGAGAAAAGTGTGTCAGAAACCCAGCTGACCATAGGCAGGTTCCACACCAAACTCGCTGCATTGAGTCCATGCTGATGCAGAGACCCCCTGTGGGTTTCTGAGTCTGTAACTGTTTATAGGAGTAGAAACCCCAGTCTTTCTCCCAAGAAGCTGCTGGTGGTTCCAAACTGCCAACTATGTGGATCACTGCCCAATGTGTAACCACTATTACCACCAGGGCTCCTTTACAGAGCAAGCTAATAGGGTCTAAAGAGGGTGAGAAGGGCATCTACCTAGAAGGACAGCCTGTCCTGGGCACCCTGATAGATGAGTAGCCTGGCACAGGGTGTCAGAACCTATGCAGGATGAGTGTCCACAAGGAAAGGAAACGGGGTGCGGGTGAGGAATGTGTCACAAGGGAAGGTGACCTGAATAGATAGAGGAGCCCAAGCAAGGTGCCAAAACCATTTCCACGAAGAGGCAGCTTGGCATGGGTTCTGTAAACCACAGTGAAATGGGTGCCCGAGTAGAAATTGCCTGATGCAGGAGGGCAGTCTAAAGACGGTGGAGTGCAGACAGGGTGGAGAGAGGATCTGTGTGGAAATTTAGTCTGACAAAGGGAACCCTGGAACCTGAACAAAGTGAAGAGGGCATCCACACAGGGCAGTGACCCAGAATCATGTGGGGTCAGAGTTCAAGTAGAATGAGGAGGGCCTCCATGGGAGAAGGCAAGCGACACAGTGTCAGAGGCAGAGCAGGGTTAAGGAGGACACCTACCTGCTGGGAAGGCTCAGTGGGGGATGCTGGAGCCTAAGGGGGAGGGAAAACACATAGGGAGCGGGAAGGAGGGAGGGCAAGGAGCCAGAGTCAGAGCAAGCTGAGGAAAGTACGCACAAGGGGTGGCCTGGCGTGAGAATTTGAGTCCAGGCATGGTGGGAAGTTTCTGCACAGTGGGAGACAGCCTGATGTGGAGCAGCAGGGTAAAGGGGGTAAGGAGCTGTGCACAGGCGGAAAGGAGTGGCAATGGGAGATGGGTTGCACACAGGGAGTCTGATCAAGTGAATAAATCTATTAAAGGTAAGGAAAGCAGATTGCTCGCGATCAGAAAAGGAAATTACAAACATGGTAAGCAAACTGGAATAAACTCTGTAGTGCTGGACTGAAATTTAAACGGAGGCTGAGCAGACCAATAGGCAGAATGGGAAAAATTATGGGTCAAAGTCCTCGGAAAGGGAAGACTTAGAAGTGGCCTAAGGAGCCCATTCAAGACCCTTAAGTGGGAGACTGGATTACTGCCAGGGCTGTGGAGAGAGATGCACATTCAAAGCATTACTGTCTGTAGCCATCTTTAAGCCAGGCCTACCTGCTTCCAGGTCTGTCTGTCCAGAAATTAATTTGCTGAGCAGTGTGAATGCTGCCCGTTTTCTAGGAGGGAAATGATATTTCTAGCATGGTGTCAACCAGTAATTGTTCCCACTTTAGCTACTGCTTCCTCTCACCCACATTTTGCAAATTTGGGTCCATCCCAGTTTCATCTCTCAGCCACGATTAAACTGAGCAGAATCAACTCAAAGTTCTGGGGCAAAAAGCAAAAGAATGCAGCATCACTTCTGTGATATTCCTGCCACCAATGCATAAACGGAATCTCGTATGAAGAAACACTGAGACAAGCTCAAGTGCAGAGACATTCTAAAAATAACTGAGCTGTAGTCTTCAGAAGTGTCAAAGTCATGAGAGTCAAGGACCGTTCCAGATGGCGGGTGACTAGAGACATAAATACATGGACCTAGAGAATTGGGGCGGAACCTTCTGGTATAAAGGACACTACTGGGGCAATCAGTAAACAGAGAGGGGGGGGGGGCAGCCTGAGAATTAGTAACACCATTACATTTATTTGCCTGGTTTGATAGGGAAGAGAACATTCTGGTTTGTAGTAAACACGTACTATCGTGTTTCCAGATGACAGCTCAGCACACTGACAATGTACTCTCAAAGAATTCGAGGGAAAAAAAGAGAGAAGTCTTCACACTACTATTCACAACTTTTCTCTACATCTACATTATTTCAAAATGGAAAAAAAATCTTGAAAAACTACCCTTCAAAGAACAAAACAAAAGTTTTTAACACGTCATTTAAACCACAGACACAAAATTTAGGGTAGCTAAATTTTCTGTTCAAAACGCCTTGGTGGGACAGTGGTCAAGCACTCTGCTACTAACTAGAAGGCTGGCAGCTTGAACCATAGCCACGACCAGGGGAAAGATGTGGTGGAGACTGCTTTCCCTTAGAAACCCGCAGGACTGTCACAGCCCGACTCTGTCCCACAGGGTCCTTGTACGCTGGAAATCAACTCCATGGCAACAGGCTTGGTATTTTTAGCCACTTCTTCACATGTGAAGGAGTCCTGGGGGCGTACCAGGCTAGGCTATTCACTGAGCTGCAAACCCCAAAGTCAGCGGATTGAACCCACCCATCTCTCGGAGGAAGAACGATGAGGCTTTCTGCTGCCACCTTGATGTAGCCCCTCAGGAGCCCATGAGATCAGTTCTCCCCAGCCTATCAGGTTGCTAGGAGTCAGAATTCAGCCAACACAGTGGGTTTGGTCACATACAAAAATATTTGTACTGCTGAAAGATGGACGACACTTGACAGGGCCAAAATAACCTCATTTCCTTAGCATGGTGTACCTCTCAAGCTCTGCTCCTATAAAACGACCCAAATCCAGGGCTAACTTCCACACCACATTTCCCAGTCTGTGTGTTCTGACCAGATGTGTGTGCAGACATTCAAGGTTCCATCAGGAAGGCCACAGCATCTTCAGTCAACTAACCTCAAATGGGTTCAAATTGAAGTAGGAGGAGCCAGGACGGGTCAGTCTTTCAATCTGATTTTTGGATGTTAAAACCGAGTCTCTCTTCTCTATTTGTTTGACCTACAATAAAGGGATACAAATTTCATTAGTAAAGTTCAATAACAAACTCTGAACTATCTTAACATGTTAGTTATTGTCATGTTCAGCAAACATCTACTTGTGTGATTACAATGTACAAGATATTTTTGCTAATCAACTTAGGGGATAATTACAATGGCTACCATTTGACAAACATCAGTGATGTAAAAACTTTCCGTGTTATTTCTTCTGCTCAATAAATCCATATAGTGTAGATACTACTATTATTACCATTTCGCAGATAAGAAAATGGAGGACTAAGATATTAAGTGAGGTGTTTCCAATTACAAAACTTATAAACCCAAATTTTCACCTCAGCAGTTTGATTCCAGAACAGGCACCAAAAAGATTAAAATGTACACAGCTCACTCCAATTAGTTTCCAATCTAATGATGGAAGATTTGCTTACGTGTGATTACATTTAATTTGCAATATCTTAAGAAAAATATAATTACACTGAACGATGTACTGAAGACAGTTTTTCAAGTGTCCTGGGAAGAAACAATGAACTCTGCTAACCGTGAGAATTAGAAAAACCCCTGACCTAAAGACAATGCTAAGGAGAACAGATAGCAGGTTGCTTCCAGGAAAGCATCCTTGGTACCATTCTCAGTGCTGAATGAATCTCTGGTATACCGCCTACCTGAGTTATCTAGCGCTGCCATAACAGAAATGCCACAGTGGATGGCTTAAACAAACAAATTTATTTTCTCACAATGTAGGAGGCCAGAAGTCCAAATTCAGAATGCATGCTCTCGGACAGTGGTTCTCAACCTTCCTAAGCCGTGACCCTTTAACACAGTTCCTCGTGTTGTGGTGACACCCCAACCATAAAATTATTTTCATTGCTACTTCATAACTGTAATTTTGCTACTGTTACGAATCAGGCGACCCCTGTGAAAGGGTCCTTCAACCCTCAACAGGGTCACAACCCACAGGTCAAGAACCGCTGCTCCAGAGGAAGGCTTTACTCTTGTTACCTATGGGTGAAGGTCCTTGTCTCTTCAGCCTCAGTTTCTTGATTCCGTGGCAATCTCCATGTGGCTTGCTATCAATCTTCTCCCATATCTGCTAGTGTAAGCCACTCATTTTATATCTTGTAAGAAACAGACTCAAAATATACCCTATACTAATCTCTCCTCATTAAAGTAACAAAGACAAGCTATTCGCACGTGGGATTATAATAACCACAGACAAAGAGGTTAGGACTTAATTACAACACATATTCTTGAGACACAATTCAACCCACAGCGGTCTACCCTCTGGCTTCCCAGACTGCAAGTCCTTGCCACATGCCTACCACTTCACCATCACATGATCGCCACAGTTTTAAATAAGTCTAAAATATCTTCTGAATTCTCTATGTCAAGAATGGCTGCAACTTTAGGCATAGTCCAGACTGGAGCAAATTCCTCTTCATCTGTTAATCTGTGAAATCTTCAATATGTTATCTGTTCTGAAGTTCAATGATGAAAGAAGCACCAGGTAAACATTTCCACTACTCTGGAGACAGAGGGAGAGAAGGAATAACAGGCACCAAACAAGCCCAAAATCCAGAACAAACTACATAAACTCTCAAGACTGGAAAACAAAACTATCCTCTGTTCTTAGAGACCATCTGGGCGATAGCCCCAGCCTCTGAATCCAGGGTGAAGGCACCTCAGCCCTGAAGTTCAGCTCTGCCTTCCAGGCCCCGTGGAATGGCAATTCGACTCCTGCAGCTTTGATGGGCACTGTTTTCCTCATCCATCTGACCCGCAACCACAGCCCTCACAGGCCCCAGAGCAGTTCTTCTGAGGCTTGGGCGTAGCAGCCCTGCCCCCTCAGCTGTGGGCAGCAGCCCCACACTCCAGAACTGAGTTGGGGAAGATCAACTCCGAAACCTAGGGAGGCTGCGGCCCCACCCTTTGAAACCAAGAGGGCTTGCCTCTTGGGTTCCTTCCAAGGATTCTGCCGATCTTGAGCTGCCCCAGAGACCTGTTCTTTTTTTGGAGGACAACAGGCTGAGCTCCTTTGGCCTGTTTCCTGCCTGTAGAATTCCAAGAGGCAAACAGCGTTGTTTCCTTTTGTTCCCTCCCTGCCCCTTCAGTTTAAGGTAAGGGGTTTTCCACAGTAGTTGGTCAGTCATCCGGCACAGTCTCGATCACTTTGATGAACGATGATTAGCCTTGGTGAACGTTTGCCCTTAGTTGTACAATGGAATGTTCCAGATCTTTAAATTCTGTTTTCACTTCTTTCCTCTGGCATTTTACTATAAAGCGCCTGAGGAGATTTCTAACCACATGGCTCCTTTAAGGTCATGCTTGGAAATCTCATCAGCCTAAATTCATCATGTAGAACAACAACATCATGTACCTTCCAACATTTTAATACAATTCAGACAAGTTCTCTGCCAATGCATAAAGCATATTACCCTTCTTCCATTATCCAATCACATATTCATCATTTCCTTTTAAAACCTAAGCACAGAAGCACACTTAATCCCCACATTTCTAGGAATACTCTGAGACAATAGACACTTTCTCTATAGCTCTACTCACTTCCTCGAGCTGTTACTAGAATTGTCTTTGATGTCCACAATCTAGGCAATCGAGGCTTTCACTTCAGTAGCTATCTGTCTATTGAGTAGATTCCAACTCACAGAGATCCAACATACAACACAATGAAGCACTGTTGGGTCCTGTACCAGACTCACAATCATTGTGATACTCAAGCCCATTTGTTGAAGCCCATTTGTTGCAGCCACTGTGTCAATTTATCTATGAGGCACCTTTGAGGTACCTTAAAACTCTTCCAAGCTCTTCCCATTAGCCAAGTCCCAAACCACATCCATAATTTAGATGTCTCTTGTTAAGGTTGCACCCCTACTTCAGTACCAAATTCTGTCTTAGTAATCTAGAGCTGCTGTGAAAGAAATACTACCACAAATGAATGGCTTTAATGGGAATTCCTTTTCACAGTCTAGGAGGCTAGATGTCAAAATTCAGGGCTCTAAATTTCTTCATTGATAAAACAGAGACAACCCATTCCCAGATGAGATTGTAAACACAAGCTGAGTGGTTATGAAATCCAACACTTATTTTGGAGTGACACAATTTTACCCATAACACCGTTTTTATTCTTATGACTAAATAAGGCTGGAAAGCATTTCATTAACATCAAAAGCCCGTCCTCTTCAGTGGCTTGGTTCTTTCTACAACAGCATAACCACTCCCCACAGATTTAGTCTTCCTCACTACCTGACACTATTGTGCAAGTAATATATCGCCTAACAGCCATTCACACATCACCAATATATACAGTCCAGGTCTCAAAAGGCTTTTTTTTTTTTTAAGGGACCTAGTTCTCCTTGTGATTATGTTTCCTCTAATGGTTTTTATTAGGGCCCTATAGCACCATAGGTTAGGCTTTGGGCTGCTAACCATAAAGCTGGCTGTTCAAACACACCACCTGCTCCTCAAAATTGAGACTGTCAGTTTCCAGAGAATTAGTCTCAGAAAGATTTCTAACTTGCTAGGAGTGAGAATCGACTCATTAGCAACCCAGACTCTTAAACAGTACTGGACCACAAGTAGGGTACAGGCAAGTAAGATGGGCAGCATGACTCTGGACACAATTCTGGCTGGCAGGCAGGCAGACGGGCAGCAGCAGGGCTGCAGGGGGCCAGGAGACTTTTACTGCTGAGGTTGGTGCCCCTCGCCAGCTGGCTTCCTCTGGCCTCCACCAGCAGTGGCAGCAGCTACAGAGGGCAGCCATGATGATATTGATGATGATGATGTGCAGAAACAGGCTCCCATGGGTTTTAATATGATGTTTAGCATCCTATGTCACAGAACGTATGCTGGGCTTTAAGCAACACGCACCTATTTATTGTTTACTGTTTATCCTCTTCTATGGACTGTAAGCTCTATGAAGACAAGGATTTTTCTGTTATTTACAACTATAACCCCAGCACCTAACCATTATCTTGTATATGCCAGGTACAAAATAAACACTGATTGAATGAAAATCAAAATGTCTTAGGGACATTCTCTTCTGACACTAACCCAGGGTCTTTTTTTTTTTTTT